TACACTGATGCCAATCACATTAAACGCCGTACAACCAACAAACTAAACTAGTTTCACACCTAGAGCCTTAATATGAAACAGAATGGAAAGTGATAAAGCAAGTTTTCGCGTTCGAATTGCTTTTGTCAAACTGTGATTGAAATGGACTGTTTTGCTTATTACTTTCTGTACAATTGGTGTTTTTTGCTATTGAATAGCTTGCTACTGTTGCATAAGTGTGGGTGTAAATCTGACGGAAGAATACGTCAGTAAGCGACGGAACTTCGACGAATGCGTAAGATTAAATATCATATTATTATGGCTATCAATACGTTTTGCGACTGAAGAAACGCAACGCATTTTCCATAAGATATGCACCTACGTTAATATGGTGGTTTAGTCAACGTTATCAAATTTACTCCCTTTTGCTCAACTAGGGGAAGTAGTCATAAATCATAAGGTTGCAAGTTTGTAATGCAGATATGACAAAAAAGGTCAGAGTTCATATCATTGAGTGAAATTGTCTGTGAAAAAAAGGGAGATCCCCTACCCCGTCATAATAAACTCATTATAAAACAAATAAGTACGTATCACTATGATCAAAGCAAATCACAGTAGTTAAACATTACAATTTTCTATTAAAGTAATCAGACGAGTTTATTGGGTGTAAATTTATTTCGCCCACAATTCCACATCTTTATACGAAGTCGTCTATGAACACAATTAAATCAATAATTACTAAACTTATCTAATTTTTAAACTCTGTCTATTTACTCATAAAAATAATCATTCTATTCAAGCGCCATTATTATTTTACATTATTTTTTTTCAACTGATGCAGTCACGTTTACTGGGGATTTAACACCCACACTGCCATTCCTATTCGCAATCTAAAGTGGTTTTATCAAGTTGATAACGAAAAATGGAGGCCGCTGAGCCCGGATTTCAGTGTACCCGCCTGCAAAATACGATAATGCAGCAATTGTAAACACAGAGCATGGCTGAGTACCTATCACAAACTGGTATTTCTCAGATAAGCCATTTGATTGAAACACAGACTGTGGGATTGAAGTATCAACATAATGAAAGGGCTCTGGCGCCGCTTTAGTTAGATTAGATTCGTCATGTAGGACAAATTAAGCCCATTAGAAAGATATTTGGGCGGGTTTTGTTAACGGACGATAGACATTATTATTATTTTGCAAGTGTTTAATTTTTATTTGTCATTCTTTATTTTAAATAATTGATTTATTAATTAATTTTGTTTATTTTAATGCTCGTTGAATAGATTACACAGATTCACAAAATTGAATATTTTTTCTGATGAATGACTTTTATCATATGATGTTTACTAATTTGACCCCGCTGATTCTAAATATACTCTCATTTTTTTTGCTACAGCTCTTGTTTACGAGTTACAGCTTTCACTCGAAACTGACTGTTCTCTTATGTTATTTTGCTGATAATTTAAATAAAAAGAAGTTTTCTTAATATAATTTGATATGGCATCGTCAAGTCGAGTTTGTGTAAATGATCCGAACCATTTTTGTTTCATTTGCGGAGAGTATATGTTTAAAGAATGCCGTTTAAATGTGACAGCCTTCGTAAATGAGGCTTACAAAAATTACTTTGGTCATCCACTGGAAATGAAAAATAAGCCTTGGATTCCGCAAAAGGTATGCAAAACGTGCGTTGAGTTTCTACGTTTGTGGACAAATAAGAAAAGGAATAAATTTAGGTACCAAACCGCTATGGTATGGAAAGAACCCATGAACCACCACGACGACTGTTATTTTTGTTTGGTGAACATTACTGGCATTAACCGAAAAAATCGAGCTAAGTGGGAATATCCTTGCATACGGTCGGCATATAGACGTGTTTTGAGCCCTAACATATCCCCTGAACCTCAAGCTGGTGCACCACAGGATGAGCTTGTGCATTTAGAGGCAAATACACACAGTAGTGAGAGTGAGTTTGAATGTGACCTGGATACACCAAAACCATTCAACCAAGATGAATTAAGCGACCTTATCAGAGATTTGGGACTGTCAAAGTCTGCTTCAGAGCTTTTGGCGTCTAGGCTAAAAGAAAGAAACTTAGTAACAAAAGAAAATAAAATTCTTATTATCGCACAAGAGAACAAAATCTCCTCAAATATTTTGCTGAAGAAGATGACTTCGTATTTTGTAAAGATGTACCTGGATTAATGGCTGCAATGGCATTACAAAATTACGTTTCTAGTGAGTGGCGTTTATTCATAGACTCATCAAAACAGAGTCTAAAATGCGTTCTTTTACACAATGGGAATAAATTTGGGTCGCTGCCTATTGCGCATTCTACAAAAAGAAAAGAGGAATATACAACAATTGCTCTGATTTTGGACAAAATTAAATATGTAGAACACAACTGGCTCATATGTGTTGATTTAAAAATGGTAAACTTCCTTTTAGGCCAACAAAGTGGATACACAAAGTATCCCTGTTTTCTTTGCTTGTGGGATAGTAGAGCTAAAACTCAACATTGGATTAAAAAAGATTGGCCTACTCGAGACGCGCTAGTACCCGGTCAACAGAATGTGATAAACCCACCTTTAGTATCAAGGGATCGTATAATTTTGCCTCCCTTACATATAAAACTAGGACTAATAAAACAATTTGTAAAAAGCCTTGACAAAAATGGAAATTGTTTCCTTTTCCTATCAAAAAAGTTCCCAAAAGTGAGTGCAGAAAAGATAAAGGCGGGCATTTTTGACGGTCCACAGATACGATCACTAATAAAAGACTCGAATTTTACGGACAACATGACAGAGAATGAGAAAAATGCATGGAATGAGTTTGTCTGGCTTGTTCAAAATTTTTTGGGAAATAAGAAAAGTTCTGACTATTCTCAACACGTTGACCAACTAATGAGTCACTTTCAAAGGCTTGGATGTAACATGAGCATCAAGTTACACTTTCTCCACAACCACCTGGAATATTTTCCCGCCAATCTTGGGGATCTAAGTGAAGAGCAGGGTGAGCGATTCCACCAGGACATTCGTACGATGGAAGAACGCTATCAAGGCTACTGGAACGCACACATGATGGCTGACTATTGTTGGAGCATTCAGAACAGCTCTCTGCCATCACCTTCAAAAAGAAAATCAAATAAAAGGAAGTTTTTTCCAACTTAAGAACTAAATAAAATGGGACTATCTTTAAATATGTAGTATTTTATTATAAAAACACCCATGTGTTATATTTTTTAAACAAGAGCTTATACAAAAATTTCAGTTACAGATTTGGAATTGTCATAAAAAATTAGACATATATCATGTATCATAAGCCAATCATCAGGTATGCTGTTGTGCAGTGTTATAATTACTGATATTTAAATTCTAATGATTATTAACTGATTGGAATGTCAATAATGAAAATTACTAAACTATTGACGTAAATAGGAAGGAAGCACCGGGGTTCAAGATTTATGTAAGTTTTTCAAGCACAGATGCCACTCAATTGCTAAATTGAGTACTAAATGTAATACTTTTTCTTGAATAAATTATTATTATTATGTGAAGGCCGAATTTAATGAGCAAAGAAAATTATTACCCGCAGCGCAGATAACCCCGTAAAGATATTTCATTTCTCTTGCTACCATAGCAGTGGCGGACTAACCTCATCGGAGGCCGGGCCGGGCGGCAATAGGCCCGGGTCGTCAAGTTTTCCAACCAGGGTAGAAACTTGATATTGCGGTTACAATCCCGTACAAATTTTTATCTTAATAATATTATTATAATTTTGGTGGTCGACTGCAGCTTTTGGAGGCCCCCTGGACCAGAGGCCCGGGGCGGTCCGTCTCATCCGCCCCCTTAGTCCGCCACACTATACAACGAACGAAACGAACGAAATAGAAACTTTAAAACGATTTTAAAATCATCATTTAGCTAACAGCTCATATTGTAATAAGGTCCATGGTTTTCAATACATTAAGTTTACATAGATTTGTTAAATAACTCCAAGGAATGTTTTATTATAGGTATCTAGTCGTTAACAGGAAAACATAAACGAATGGTTTCTGATCGATCGAATATGATGAGAAAGGAGTATAAAAAAAGATTGCAGGTTAGTCAATAAAACCCGTAAATAATGGTTTCCTGTGAAGAAACAAATTGTGCCGCATCACATTCGGAACTCCTGAGAAGTGCACAAAAAAAACAAACTAAACAGTAAAGTTTAGAAGAACGCATTAAAAGTTTGCATTATTAGACTTGAGCTTCAAAGTTCAATTCATAAAGAGGTAGCATCTATCTATAACTTAATTAATTATAGGTTTTTGTAATATTTTATTAAGTACCATTTGCCAAACAAGTAGGTAAGAAAAATTTGGCCGTCTGTTTGGCTTCTCTTGCATTTGCATTGTAGAATAATGCTACTTATAAGACCTTCGATACACAGCTTTATTAAATTGAAGCTTTATTAAAATAACATTATGTGTAAATGACTTATAATAAGGTAAATTAATTTTGTAATATCTTATTACATTAGTAATTAAAAAAAAAATTCATTCAAACTTCCAAAACACGTTTACGATTCATCGTTCTTTTTTTTTTGTTATGCTTCGTTTTTCTTTCAAGGAGGTTGAACGGTGCACGCATTCCCTCCACTCGCGCTGGTTCGTCGCATCGAACTTCGAGGTTTGTCAGTACGCGGGCCGCTAACCGCCAAACGATTATATTCTTGTTTCATTATTATTTAGTAAGAAAACATAATCGCAACTAACTTTAAATTTAATAGTGAATAAATAAAAAAAGTAGTTTTGACTTTGTTTAATTATTGTACAAAAGTTCGTCTTGAGAACTCGGAAAGATTTCTTTTTATTTCTTGAATGAAGTAGATTCGTCTTTAGATCTTGCGCACTCCGTACTTACTGGAAGTAGGTACATACATTGAATACAAGTTATGCAAATATTGAGGAGACGAATGTAGGGCATAAGATAAATACTAAATAATATCAACACAGATAAACACTGTCATACTAACCTGATGGCTCGGCGCAATCGCTCATAATCCAAGCTGCATTTTAACCTCAAAAAGCACCTCAAGCACGGTGACGATACGCAAAGGTCACGGTTATGTTACGTTGCATAATAATAACACCAAGCTTCACTTCACAGAATGTATGAGATTATATGGAAAAAAAATCAAAAACCCGGTAAGATTACTGTTAACAGTTATCATAAACACACAAATGCACAGTTTATTTCACGTTTTTCATACGATACATTGACACTTCCGTTAATTTGTCTTCAGTGATCATAATAGGGTTTTGCCATTAAAACAAGCACCAGTACTTAGGCTATGTAATAAGTTTTATGCAGCTATTTTTCGATAAAACATGTAACAGTTGCGCACTGCACTCCGTGTGACACGACGAACATGGCGGATGAATTTGAACTACGCTTGCGCCGGCAAACGCCGAACGTGACAGGTACAAAACACAAGCGAACACCACGCCATCTATGTCATGAAACCTGAACTAAATTGTAAAAATGGCTGCTATACGTTATCAAATGTTGTAGCAAGGTGGTTAGTTGATGCCAAGTCATCACATTAAACATATTGTCAAAGATGGCACTGGCACTACTTGTATCTCTTTGTGACTACACAAGTATGAATACATAATATAAAACGAAGGAAAATAACATTTAGAATAGTTTTTGTAATTTTTGAGAATAACGATAAGTATTAATTTCAAATAATAAACATATGAAAGCAAAGCTACGCAAAATACTACTAAAAAATAAACAGAAACTACTAAGACCCCTGATAGTTGCCTGATAATGAGTTTCTTTAGACTTTTGATCATATGTCCCTCATAGTGGGGAGAGTTGATCCATTTCCCATTTTGACTTCAAATCAGCTTAGCAACTTACAGTATTAAAATATTGAAAAAGTAATGATGCAAAAACAAGCCTATATAAATAACACATGTATTCAATTTATAATCTAGTCTCCACATCAAATCTATAAGATGTGATAATTTAAGTAAAAAGAGGTTCAAGTCTCCGGACTTCCCCTACAACGTAAACTTTGATGTAAGTAAAGTTCAATTTCTGCTTGTTTGCCCATGCTTAGGAAACAAATTGAACATCAAACCTCCTCCTTGTTTTTGAAGCCAGTGAAAAATACGCAGGGTCACTGCATTTGCTCTCGGCCAATTATAAGAAACATAAGTTTATTTTTATCTAACTTTGTAACGGTGCGTCGTACCACAGACCGTTTATTTCGTATAACTTTTTGTTTTTGATTTTCAAAATCATTTCTTTTTAATATTCACCTTTCGAAATTTGAAATTTTGAGTTATCAATATGGGGGCGTCCATAAATTACGTGAGGTGTTTTTTTTTTTTGTCGTGAGATTTTATTCAACCCCCTCCCCCATCCCCCAATCTCACATGAGATTTTTCAAAATGTGGGAATTTTTAAATTCAGTCATAGATTATTTTTATGGAAGCCAAATTTAAGTAAAAGTATATAAATGAAAACCAAAGACTAAAAGAAGAAGAATAATTAAATTATTTTCTTTCGAACGATTAAGTGAATGATCTAAATCGTATACGATTACGCTTAAGATTAAATCTTAAGCATGTATAATCTGGATTAAATGGAACAAAATAGTATTTTTTTTTGTTTCAATCAGAAAAAAAATTGCGTGATATTTACCGAGACCCCCCATCTCTCCAACGTAAGATTAGATGAGATTTGACTCGACCCCCTCCCCCCCCTTAAACATCTCACGTAATTTATGTACGCCCCCTATGCTCTTTATGAATGTCAGTTCGGAAAAAAATCATCTGGCGTGAACAATAATCTAATCATATAAATTTAAATATATAAATCTAATAATAATAAAGTTATTTAAATTTAAATAAGAAAATGTTTAACTAAAAGTATATCTTCGTGAAATATCTACCAAGTTTTATCTATTACGGAAAACCCAGAAACGGGGTATGTATTTGTTCTATTTAATTATATTATGTTGGTAATCATCATACGAACTGTTTTTATATTTATTTTTTGTTTGTTACAGTTTTCTTTACCCTCAAATGAATCAAATTTTCTTTTAAACATTTTGGTAGAAATATAATATCATTGCTATAGTAGTAAGAGAGTATTATTAAAATAAAACTGTGTTCACATTAAAAATAAAAAGGTATAAATCAACTTACACAAATTATTTAACTGCCTTTTTACATCGAATAAATTCTATTAACATATTTAAACCTTCAAGATACATTATCAAAAACTAAAAATACTCTACACATAGTCGAAGCAATTGAAATAATACAATTAGTTTGTAATATTCAAATATTTTATTGTATTTATTTACAAGGCACGGCGGATTGCTTTTATTTTCTCCTGGTTCTATATCTGAGAGCTATTACTGCGAGGAGATGGAATATTAGATATAGGACGAACAGTGCGATCACGTCCGGCCATAGGTGAGAGCTTTCGAAGTCGTATCGAGAAAGCACTTCTTCGCCGTTGCTGAGACAAGGCATCCCCGTGCTGTTCTGAGCGCAGGCTGAAAAATAACAAGAGGAATATGTTATGTAACTATATCATGTATATAGGTTATCCAGATATTTTTATATAAATTCAAAACTGCAAATTTGATCCTATTCACATTTAAATGAGACCACATGACAAGTATCAGCTTTTGAATACGAGGGTCAAACTGAAAGTTCTTAGAACTGGCCACTTATAAACAATATAATAAAAAAATAATTCTAAAATTTGAAAATATAACTCTTTGCCAATATTACTGAGTATATATTTCATTCATTTGTCATTTGTTTTACGATTTGGCGGCAAATTGAAAATTGTCTGTGTCACGTCATCATGAATTTAACACGAGAAAATTTTCGTGCAATGATTTTTTATGACTTTCGATGACATTTAAGTCAACAAGAAAGTTATGATAGACTACGATTGGCCTTTCACGATGAAGCCCCATCTCGTGCGACTGTTTACAACTGGTTTAATGAGTTTAAACGTGGTCGCACTAATCTCACTGATGATTTACGTGAGGGACGGCCTTCTACGGCGACGACTGAAGATAACATCTGTGTTGTGCGGCGTATGATAGAGACTGACAAAAGAGTGACCTATCAACAGATTCGGACAAGCTTAGGCATCGGTATGAGTCAAGTGCACAAAATCCTCCACGAACATTTAGCGGTCAGGAAGCTTTGCGCCCGGTGGATACCTCATAATTTGACTGAGGCTCAAAAACTCCATCGTGTGGATTGGTGTCGTAAAATGATTGAAAGATTTAACGGAGGTGACTCAAATGCTGTGTTCGACATACTAACAGGTGACGAAAGCTGGATTTACTGTTATGATCCTAAAACCAAAAGACAATCTGCTCAGTGGGTGTTTCCTTTCGAGGAGTTGCCAACTAAAGTGAAGAGAGATCGAAGTGCGGGAAAAAAAATGGTGGCCTCGTTCTTTGGAAGGATAGGTCATTTTGCAACAATTGTGTTAGAGGATCAAAAAACAGTTTCTGCAGAATGGTACACTACCAATTGTTTGCCACTTGTCTTGGAAAAAGTTCGAGAGAAACGACCTCGCAGTAGAATCCTCCTTCACCACGACAACGCCTCGTCGCACACCGCCAAGCGAACGATCGACTATTTGGCGACATCAAACGTTGAATTACTGGGTCACCCGCCGTATAGCCCCGACCTCGCGCCTTGTGATTTTTATTTATTTCCAAAAATTAAAGAAAAACTTAAAGGAAAGCGGTTTATGAATGCTGAAGAAGCGGTGGCTGCGTATCGCGATGCCATTGAAGAGACCCCTAAGGACGAGTGGGCAAAGTGCTTTTCCCAGTGGTTCCATCGCATGCAGCGGTGTATTGACGTGAATGGACAATATTTTGAAAAGATATAATAAAACTAATAACTGGCTAATGTAATCAGTTTTTGATTTTCTAAGAACTTTCAGTTTGACCCTCGTATAAAAGAAATTATAAATATCGCTAGACCCAACAAAAGTTATTAGGTAACACACAAAAAAATAAAACATTCCAACAATAATCAATGATCGAATTGAGATTCTCCTCCTTCGAAATCGATTTATAAAAGTAAGCTGCTTCTTGTGCGGTCTTCCTAAACGTAGGATGGGCAATAAGTTCGTCTTTGGATTGATATTTATTTAATATTTTCATTTGTTATTGTTCGTGTCGATACGCGATCCCAAGAAATGTTCATGAAACCTGTTTGGTTGAGATATTTTTTTTTTTAATTTATGATAAATTTCCTGCATAAAATTATTTTAAAAAAGGAAATTAATCTTATATTAATTTTACAATTTTAACCTCTCTTATCAGGGGTGCGATCGCTTATCTCTCTAGCCATAATTTTAACCAACATCTTAGCGAATGTTATGACGGTAGTTCATTTCGTTTTTCTACTTTGCGACGTCTTTTGATAAACTTGGGATAAATGCTTAAGGTGGAAACGTTTATGTCTAATCCATATTCATCATTCTTTATTATTCGTTCGTCGTTTTAAAAGTACATATCGTAGTAGTAAAATAAACCAAAATAGTTCTATGAAATCTCTAAGATGTCGTACTATATGGGTAGAGTTATTCAGTCGCTCTACAGGTATCTTCAAGTGTCAACATAATAAGGTGTGAATGTAAAAGGAGTCTTTAATGTGGCAGTGCCGGTAACATAATAGAAATAAAGAGTGTTACAAAAAAGTCAAACTAAATAACGCCCCGTCTCTGGTAGGTACCTGGGAATTTCGATCTCCGGGTTAACCCCGACACAAAGACCAATGGCCCCTACTGTTTCTCCGGAACCTCAAACAATTATGAAATACTATTACGACTCCTATAATATGTTTTTTGTAGACTTTGTGTCTCGAAGGGATTTTCAGTTCGCCTAAATGCAAATAGCGAAATCATAAAAATATTTCGAAATTTTGACTTCAGAGAAGGAGGAATAATCCCTAAGTCCTAAGCAAATTAAGGTAATTAAGTTTGTACATATTTAAAGCGAATAAAAAAGGAGGTTTATATGCATTTACAGCGATTACTCTGTCTATTGTGATTGTGAACCAGTTTGATAAATATTTTTTTTATTTGAAAGTCTATTTATTGCTTTGTTTTAAAAATGATTCTCAAATAGTTTACGAACGTCCATCTTCTGTAAAACGAACTTAGCTGGCATTTGTTTCATGAGTTTTATAAAACATGATGCCCATTAATAAGTAAAACAAAAGTAGGTATTGCAAATTAAATTACAAAGAAGTGCGTTAATTACTCACACACGAAACAGAAAAGACGTCTATTGCTTTCCGAATAACATAAAACAATTGATATGAGACTGGAGTTTAATTTGTCAGCCTATGTTTATAAAAAAAAGAAGAGTCAGTTTAGTCAGAAGAAGGGTTTATTTATTGCATTTTTAACACTGTTTTGAAAAATTATTTTATTGACGCGCGGGGTCCATAGCATTCGGTACTTTTGCTACGTGGCTAATCCAGCCCTGTCACGCATCCTCATCCCTATTTCACTAATATATATATTTAAATAGGTTTTTGATGTGAGGCTAGATCCAGCGGGCTCTTTGCTGGATCCCGGGTCCATTCCCCCCCACGGAGGGTACTCGCAGTAGGTTTTCCTTTTCAAGACGGGTGCGGGGTCGGAGAGCACTGGTATTCCCCTAATATAATGATAATAAAGACTCACATATCTCCTGAACACCATCCCACTGCAGTATACTCATGGCCTCGTTGGAGTACATCAGCCACGAGAAATGTCGGATCCAAGATATATACTTTGGAATTGAGCTAGAATTATAAAAATGATTATGAGAAATTACATAACTTTAAGCTTTAGATTAATATGAGAAGACGTATAGCGTGCTGTTTAACGCTTTTCGTACGCGATTATTAAGATTAAGCAATTTTTTTATATGCTGATCCTCAGATGGATGACTATAGTTTATTATCAGCGTTTTTATAAATTCAAGTTGTGGCCCACGAAATTGGATATTCTCAATTTTCTAGTACCTGTCTGCACTTTATATTTTATGTTTTGTATTCAAATAACAACCTGGTATGACTATCATCTTCACCAACTTATTAAATGCCCCCACTTCTGGGGCTCAAGCCTTCCATCTGAATAATGAATGAATGAATAATAATTTTATTTGCATATATCACACACACACATGCCAGCAATTATAAAAGTTGAATCATTACAAAGATTAAATAATAAAGAAAAAATAAATAAATTAAAAGACATACACAACTCTAAATGTATGCCGGAATGATGCAAAATGGAAAAAGCTCAGTGATATGTTTACTTGTAGAGCAAACTACTGATTTTCAGCTTTAACTTAAAAAATATGGATGGAATCAAATCATATCGTATAGGGAGAATGAGCCATGAACCACGCGAGCCCAGTTCGTATAGATGGGTGTTAACGATTGTAGATGCAGCCGGGAACAACTGCTTTACGTGCCTTCCAAAGCACGGAGGAGCTTGAGATAATAAATTTTTGATCACCCATCCAATGACCGGCCTTTGCGAAAATTGCGATTGGGATAACGATTTATGGAATTATGTACCTAACATATAAAGCCGCAATCGCTTTCGGAACGAATAATGTTTTGAATCATCAAGAAACTTATATTTGCGCGTAACGCTTGTCTTCAGAAAATTCCAGTTAACGTAAAATAAACATTAATATCTTTTAATATTATTCAATAAAAAAAAAGTCGCTATCGCATATGCTATCACGTGTCAAATTGATGTACCTGAAGGTCGTGATAACTTTCAAATTTGAATTTAAAGGGCTTGCAATATAAGACGATTAGCCATGAAACATAGCTCTTTAAAATCATAAAAACATTCACCCAATACAAAGGCTACAACTGTTTCAGATTTACCATGTACGAAGTAATCAAATCCAACCAGAAAACTTTAGATTACTTTTATAGTTTAGCTTAATTAATTATTATTTATTTTTCTTGTAAACTATCTCACCTGAGCCTCACGAATAATCCTGATGTCATCATGAGCGAGTAGTCGAATGGCACCAAGTACGCGATGGCTACAGGCATTGAGCCAAACGCGCAAGAGAAGAATGAGCCTAAAAAAATAATAATATAAATAATAATACTAGATTAGTAGCCATGGGCTGTAAGGCATCAATTGCAGCCTGAGATATTTAAGCGCATATAGTTCGAGGGTACTATTGATGCTAGACCCGCACTAACTACTCTGCTTTACATCTCGATTGTGAGGTAATTACAAAAAAAAACAATTAAACATTTCATTAGTTAAAATTTATAGTGAAATAAGATCAATTTTCAAATTAAAAGGACAGGTGTTTTTGGGTATGTTAATAGTTTGAGATTGTGATATTTGTTGGTCATTTACAAAATCTGAGAAGTTTCAGGCAAAATATTGTTAATTGCTACTTCAGCTTCCATTTTCATTGAATCTGAGTGCAGCTTAAATCTTCAATACTCGAAGAACTCATGTTTTTTCCTAATTAGCACGTGATTATAAAAAAATCCCGAAAATATTTAAAGTAAAACTTTTCTATTCTCGCTTTTTTTTCATTTTAAAGAACCAAGTAAAGAACCATTTTTTTATCAAGAACGAAGTTGAGCTTCGCCGTTCGATATTTAAAATTGATGATACTCATACGAAGATAAGGCTGAATAGCGAAGAGGTCATTGGGCTGAATGCATGATGTCTATTACCAGTATGATGGTTAGATGTACGCGAACTTTTTGAAAGAGTGACGTGTTTTTTTTTTAAATTACTTACCGCCCTAGGGCTTTTCTACATTATTACCCTAGAGCGCTTATTGGTCACCTACAAGCCCCGTTTGGGGTTAGTACGGACCTACTTATCGAATATGAGTGATGTAAATAAATATTAGACAATCCTATTATCCTATTAATATTATAAATGTGAAAGTTTCTTTGTTTGGATGTTTAGATGTTTGGATGTTTGTACGTCAAACACGCCGAAACTACTGAACGGATTTTGATGAAATTTGGTATACAGATAGGGCATTAGCTGACTTAGATAATAGGATACTTTTTATCCCACTAAAAATTTCCCTAGGGTCCACGCGGGCGAAGCCGCTGGCGAAAGCTAGTATCACATAAATTGCTCAGATTCCAAGTAAGTAACTAAATAATCCAATACCCAGACACGAGATAATATAGAAAAGTTTATTTTCTACATTGACACGATGACGTGTACATAGATAAATTAACATTATTGTTAGTAGACTACTATTTTTTATTTTATATATAAATAGTCAATTAATATCTGAATAATAATGTAGAAATAATAGCATTTTTGCGATTACTAGTTTCGGAGATACGGTGCTTAGTTTGTAGAACTGCTGCTAAGTTGGCCGAAAACGCTCCCTTCAAATTCAAGTCACGAAGTGATGTCACGCCTTACTACGGTAGCGAAAAACTCATGAACGTCTGAGCGATCTTTGTAATATCTTTGTTATTTGTGCGTGTATGTTTATAGTTGCTTCAATGAAAGTTTTTACCATTTATGTAACTAATTTAATGCCATATGTATTTTAGCAAATTTTTGTAATACATTTTCCTTACCTTTTTCAAGTTTTCAAAGCGTAATCTTTTCCAAATTAGTGTAATATAATTTATTTTATTAAATAAAGTGGAAATGGATCATTTTTTCCGAATGTTTACAGAAACCTTTATTTTCTTTTGTAGGACACGACCCTATCAAAGTGTATCAATAGAAGTTTGTTATGAAAGTTTTTGTCACTATATCGGAATATAACATTATTAGTATATTTGGCGTTAGATAGATAGAATATTCTTTATTGTACACATAAAGACAAAATACATTTATATGACGAAAACAGGAGACGCACAATTGGCAGCCTTATCACTAAAAGTGATCTCCTCCAGGCAACCTTGGGATGGAGTTAAATATAAAAGACCTAATGATGGGGTAGTGGACGGTGTACATTGTCTATGGTGTACGTTAGGTGAATAATAGAGAAATTATTTTGTTAACGTTAGTATAATCGAGGTCCTCTTGCAAGTTATTATTACAGTAGTTATTAGGGTAAGATGTAACGTGTTACGTACCACAGGCTATGGCAACGTTGAGCACCATTATGGCAATGAATACAGTGAAACCGAAGGCGTACAGCGAACTACGGAGGCCCGCTATCCAGTACACGATCAGAGTGAAGAGAGTCGGCTCGATAATCAACCCGGGAAACTGGAAACACAATGATAATCTGGGATTCAATCAGCTAAAATGTTTATTACCTTTAATAATTTTAACTAGAACCTACTTCATAAGTCGGTTATTCTTATTCTTGGCGTGTAATTGTTATTTTGCCCTGTGTTGGGTGCAATACAGAATACAGCAAGTTGGGGAGCTCGATGGCGCAGTGATTAGCGCGTTCGGCCTGCGATACGGTTGTTAAGCAACTTTCGCAATGGGACGGGTGACCAAAGGTGAAAAATTATCTAGAACTCCTCCGTGCTTCGGAAAGCGCGTTAAAGTGTTTGTCCTGGCTGCATCTGCCCATCAATGGGCCATCTTGGTGGGTTATGGCCCGTTCTCCCTATTTGATTTAATTCCATTCCATCTGTAGGGACGGCCTGAGCCCTAACAGTGCATCATGGTATGTGTGCAATAAAGCTTATTATTTGAATGAACCTCTAATTCAGCGACAGCGCTATAACGGTTCGTTGTACCACCGTTTATTTCGTCCTAGATTTCCGCATGCAAATTTTTTATCTTAAATCTTCACCATTCTTTTTTTATTCACTTTCCGTAATTCGAAATTTAGAGTGATCCAGTATGCTCTTTAAGAATCAATCAAAGATTAATTAAAAAAACTTCAGTTAGTGAAAATTCGTCGAGTTAGAAATATTATTAATTTCATTATGCTCACGAGTCTGTACTCAAGAAAAATGTAATAAAGTTAAATTACTCATCAAACCCGAAGAAAAAGGCTTTTTGTTACCATTAACTAAATCAAGTTCTCAAGCTTAGTCAGCCTTTTATTCATTCGCCTAAGCATCGAACCCATCACAGCGCTATGCTTGACGTCCATTACAACGCTGTATTTTTTTTTAAAGAATCATTATCATCACCAGCATATTAATGTCCCCGTTAGGTACTGGCCTCTAGGGATGGAATTCAATAGGAAGAATGCACCAGACCCAACACGCGGGTCCAGTGCGGAAAGCTGGGTGCTAACGACTGTTCCGAAGCATGGTGGAGCTCGAGCTTGGCTACCCATCTTACGACCAGCCCTTGAGAAAGTTGCATAACAACTGTAAGAATGAAAGCCCTAACCACTGCACCATTGAGCGCAGCCATCGCCATAGTAGCATGGCAATAGGTGGTAGGTTAAAATTATTCAAATATTTAAAAGTAACAAAGATATTTTAAATTTGACTTTAACTCACCAAAGCGACCATCCTAGCGATATAATACATGGGCGTAGAGTACAACCCCGCCTTCAATTCCCTTTGGAGCAATGGAAATTCCTCAGGAAACATGTGCAGAACCGAGTACATGGGGCTGAAGGTGTTCTCGGCTATGATGATGAAGAGAGCGCCTTGCACGTCCTGAACTCCTGTCTGAGTGAGACGCACCGTGCCGAGGAAGCAAAGTCCCGCTGTCAGTGCTATAGCCTGCGACATAAAATAAATATTTACTCTACTAAAGGACATCAGGAAAAGTATCAAGTGCTAGAGAAATTATAAGGTCTTGTATACTCTGATATCGAATTCAAGAAAAGGGGTATGTTATAGTTCTATTTATTTATTTTAATATTATTGTTTTGGTAACCGTACGAAATGTTTTAAAATAATATATAAACATAGTCATTGATAACAGCAAAGCTTGAAACCGTTCTTACATCTATCGCTATGGCTCTAGCTATGCGTTAGATAATTACATGAATGTTACACGCTTGACATGGTTGAAGTTTTATTTTATTCTCAAAAGATGGTATCAATATGTAATTGAAGTTTCAATGTAAAATTTATCGAGAATAAATAACTTAATACACTAAATGAATTCGACATGTATTAAAGGTCATTTGACACGGTATTAATTGGATGATTTGAAAATGGAAAATAACCCAAACAAATGTGGAACAGCTTGGTATGTAGTCGTGCGAAGCCCACTGAGTTCGGAGATGTATTGAGCGACTGTTAGAAATGGCATTCCGTTGTTTTTATTTTTTGTTATAACCAGTAAAAAGGTCGCACAATTTACAAACAAGACTCAATTCTCAAACTAGAGTAGAATTAGATACCGTACTCATATTTCACTGCTAGAAGAAATAACTAATATTTAAAGTCATTTGTACTAAGATACGTTTAGTTTATTAAAACCAGTCGAAGAAAACGTTACATATTAGTAGACAACCATGGAAATTAACAAGAAAAACCAGCATTCTTACTAAATGCCGTTTGAATTTGATTAATTATATGTTATTATAGACTAACATTTAACCGCCACAATATTTCTTTCCCATATAATCGAGTGTGTGACATAATGACAAATCAGAAGTATATGAGCATGTTCGTTATTTCCATAAAGACACCATTAAATTAGTTTCATGATTAATCGACAAGCTGAGAAAGTGGTTATTTTGATTATCAAATTTCAAAGCGCCTTTGCAACTACTCCTTAGAATAACAATGTTAACATAAAACCGAGTAATTAAAATAAATATTTTAAGTTAAAACAAATATGTAGCCTTTCTCTGTTTGCTAAGCTTGTCTTAAAAATTAACACAAAAATACAAGAGAAATATGGGAGTTAATAAACAAATCAGTGCAATAGCTTCTGAGACTAAGCAATCAAATCTTTCCAGTATATAATATGATCATAGAATTATTGAAAACATTATTTCGACTATAAAAATAAAATCTTCTTTTCTAGGCACCTATCATTTAATTAATAACCTACAGAATACTTCCGCCCAACCAATAGCATTTTCTTGAAAAAGTCGCTTTTGAGATAAGCATTATTTCTCACTTTTTTATATTTGATGTCGGTTCATTTTTTTTTTATATGATAAGTCATATAGATGACACAGTTTCCATAACTTTCCTAAAAATTTGACGGGTTGAATGATTATTAAAAAAAAAGACACTCACCAGTTTCTGCAATATCCTAATTAATTGTACTCTTGGATCCCTGATGATGACTATAATATATCGATATACCAGCCATCCAATCTTCGTGAAGAAGAATGGAGCTTTAAAATTATCTCTTCCTACCATTTTCGAGTCCTGAAAAAGGAATTATGTGCTTGTAATCAGTATCACTCACAAAAGCTTTTTTATAGCTATTTGCTTAAATACAAACTCTCTTTTTTATAGGTTAAGGGGAAAAATGGTAAAATTTTGCTAATTTTTGTATATTTTTCGTGTGATTCTCACATTAAGTTATGACGCCATATCATTTAATATCACATACTATATTACTACTTTATTTTTCTAATCTTAATACTAGTAAAATTTTTGTCCTGACTATTGACTGACTTAGAGAAACTTAGAGAAATGTGATATTTGTAGGATACATTCATCTCATTACATAGAGGTATACCAAGAATGGATTTTTGGCAATTCCATCCCAAAGAGATCACCAGAGCTACGCCAGTCGGGGACGTGCATTGACCAGCTAATTATCTTACATCAGGTCTGATTGTGACCTCAGGCCTTGAAAATCAGTTCAATTATATATAGTCATTGAAAGCGTCGATAATATTAAGTGTATTGATCGTTTGTCCTATCTATAGGCCAACACTATATGTTGATATGACAGTTCAATACGATAAATACCTGCTCCGCATTGTCATTGAGATGAAACTCCAACTGTATTTCCATGTTTAAGTTCTTTAGCTGCGTCGCTAACTGCAAAACGGTCGCATACACTCTTGACCGCTTGTCTGGATGCCTCTTCGGAACCAGGAATCATCGCCAGCACGTTGATGAAGTAATCCGTCGGGTTATAAGTCAAAGGGCAGTGGTAACCTAGGCTATGGAAAATATAGGAAAGATTGAAACAAGTTCGTTTATCAAAATCTTCTGGATTGAGATTAAGATAGAAATGAAAGGGAGCGAGATTAAATTAGGAAAAGTGTTTACAAGATTTAATATCGAAATTTTACTAATTATTTTTTTATTATTTAAAAGTAAAACGACTGGTTAACTTTGGTGGTTTTTTACTGATTTGATGACAATAATGTTATTGGAAAAAATTACAAAATAACATGATCAAGATATCAAATCGTAATTTAATGTCAAAAATATGGTATTCTTAATTTTTTTATTTTTATTTCAAGGCAAGTAATATTTTTTTAGCTTGAGATTGAATATTAAAATTGACAGACGTATTTATTTTTTAGTTAAGAAAAAACTGCTTTAAACGTTCCACAATCTCAGATGCTAGTCGTAACTAGCATTTCGTTATTCGGACGACTGCTATAAGATAAATTACCAATATAGCGCTGTGAAAGCATTTATCAAACAGAATAACTGAAAGGACTATTTTATGTCGTAACCATGTCCTTATAAGTATCCCGCACTCATCTGTTACTACATATCGTGAACCAATTTGCATTGAAGTTCTCAGAAGCGAGGATGTCCTAAATTAGGGTCACGGAGTGCGCCGCTCCAGATAATTCATGCGACCAAAAGCAATGCATCAACTGAATCTGCATTGAGTCAATCTATATACTTTCTTTGTAGATGTGAAAGTGAATAAATCCTTTAAATAAACTCTTAAATATTACTTTTATGTTAAAAATGAAATTTTATGGGGTCATAATGTGATCTGAAACAGATAATTTTTTAAGTATTTTTCTTCTAATAGTGTAAGAAATATTATATTTCCATGGAATATAAATAGACATGTTCTGAGGTACATATTTCAGTATGATTGCCGAGTTGCCTTATAATGACTTAATAAGATTATGGTTGTACGGCAAACTTGCTTTCATTCCCTTTGTCTAATGAGTTTTTACTTCTTAATCAAGCAACAAATTGCGATGTGATTTCTTGTTGCACAGAAAAGTTCTTGAAGAACAATAGTGAAATATTTTATTTAAAATAAACAAAAAACTACCTCTCGAAGAAGCTAAGTGCCGCAGAAGCGTGGCCAGCGAACGCCACTCTCCCTTCAGCGAGCAATACTAGTCTGTCAAATAGTGCCATCAGCTCTGACGACGGCTGGTGGATGGTACAGATGACGGTCTTGCCCTGCACCGCGCTGGCTCGCAGTAATTCCATTATCTTCTGTGCTGAAGACGAATCCAGACCTGTTGTCGGCTCATCACAGAACAAGAGGCCAGGGTCTGTTAGTAGCTGCGAAATATATTGATATCGTTTTGTGATTTATTCATGCCATACAACAAGTTGTATTATCATAAAATTTAAAACTTTCGCGATTAATATTAAACTTAACTACTATTAAAATAAGGCGTAAAGATTAATTGGGGAAGTTTGACAGTATTGGAAGAACTACGTTAACATATACTTATACTTATCATACATCATTCTATGACTTTGATAACTGATAATTATTGAAAAATTCTAAAAAATTCACTTTTTCACTTTGGACCTGACGAATTTATGGTTTGGATTTTGTAACATTTTTCATTAAGAATATTTTCCACGGAAAATGGGAAAACGAGTTATTTTTTAAAATAATCCTATAACCGATTTATTCTTAAAATAATATATATTTTGTAAAAATTATTAGAAAAAAAACAAGAGAAAGCATTTTTTACTATGGCATATTGTTGTTTGGTTATCGACAAGTTGTACGGTTTTCTCAGATCACATTGGCGACACTGTATCGGTCTTCTAGTTTAACGATTTCAGGCAAACAACATTAGAGAGTGAAAAGAATCTCTCAAATTTTAAGTGGACAGAAAAATGCTATGGTAAAAGGTAATTAATTTTATTCTAAAACTCATAAATACATTAAGCATGTAGCATGTCCCACCAGTCACACGCAAATATACAAAAGCTATATTCTAACCTCAAAATCTATCTCACTAAAAGGGAGCGTTTTGGAAAGTAAGAATTAGCTAATTCTTGAACTTTGTAGCATATTTTTTTGATGTTGACGAGAGGTGGATTACATTTTCATCTGTATAGTAAGAAACTGTAAAAAAAACCCGATTTCAGCAAAAACAATCTTTCCGACTTTGACCTTGCTTATTAATAAGTAATTACTTTAGTAACGCTCAAGACGATAGAAAAGGACATGAATTAATTATAACTTGTATTTCCGGTCTTTAAAATTGGTTAGCAACAAACAAATCGCAAGCAAATTATTTGCAAAGATCACACTAAAGTTAAACACTATCAGGTAACAACTAGAGCCACAAGCGAACCAAGGTTCCGGACTATTAATTTCTATCATCAAAAGAAGATAGGGAATGGGTCATTCTACGTAACACAAAAAACTGTTCTGTGATTTTTAACTTTAAAATTAAGTGAAAGACGCGATCGATTGTACTTCATTATAATGCTTATTAATGAAATCATTACAAATCTAACCATAACTTATTTACAAAAGATTGCTCTGTGAATAGTTCGGAACGCATATTTCGTCAAAAAAAGTAACAATCAATAGTGTGAAATCGAGATGAGGTACTACACATATTTTTTATGCGCTACAAGCTTTCTGATCGAGAAAATTTTTATTATAAGTACTTTAACTGTTTAGAATTTGTTTTATTTATGTTTTGGTGCGCACATATAAAAACTTGTTTTTAAAAAACCTTTTTATATTTTTTTATTTTTTACTTTTTATTTTAGTTTTGTCGCAATATATTGTTGCTCTCATAAAGACGGATCTAAAGAGCCAAACGCGATGCAGATGCGTTATTTCATTGCTAAGTTCCTATAGCTACCTTCCAGCCCCATCATCATCAGACCTTGGTCTAAAAAGCATCTAGTACCACATGTCTATTGGACATTGAGAAGTGGGTCAAATTTGAGTTCCAAGATTGGTGCAAACAACCAAACTAACATACAAACAAGACAAGTTAAATAAAAGCTTGTAAATAAAAATAAAAGTAATTTACGATTCTGGTAAAGGTCGCATCAATTCGATAGAAGATTTTAGAAAATACTTATTTTATTTTTTGCCACCATAGAGAACTAATATCGGTTTAGCACAGCGATAGGGCATAAAGTGATTGCTACATGAGCCAGTTATGATCTGTTCCCACGTTAAATTGGTTCTAGATGATGATGTTTATTTAAAAAAGAACTGCGAAACCAAAAGCAAAAGAGCGACGAATAGCTTTGGGTGACGAAATAAGAGACCATCAAAGTTTGGTTATTTATTTGGTTAGGACAATACGAATAAGTGACTGTTTGGCGAAGGCATTTGAGATGTCCTTTAAATATTTAAACATTTTGAGTTCACTTTACTTGGCAAAATTACCTAGATGCATCCAGCCCATTTTATCTAGCCAATCGGAGTAGCTTAGTGGCGTAGTGGTGAAACATTATTGTCTATAGCTACTCCGTGCATCAGAAGGCACGTTAAGCGTTAATACCCTTCAAATCGCATTGGGTACGATGAGCACAACAGCAATATATTTGATAGATATAAGTAATGCCGAGTTATGAAATTCTCTCCATTAGGAAACTTACGCTTAATAAAATCATTGTCCTCACCTCTGTGGCGAACGCCAGTCTCTTTCTCTCTCCGCCAGAAAGTGTTTTGTGGCCGTCCAATCCGCCTATACGCGTGTATCTGCTTCTGTATAGGGCTAGTTGCCTGAGGAGTTGGTTGACTCGTCGCTTGCGTGCCAATGAGGAGGTGCGACGATCCATACGTAAGCGGGCCTGAATAAAATTAAATATGAACAATATATTGCTTATAAATAATACCTATAATTGTTCTAAACTTAATTGGGTCCCTATCCGCCGGCGCAGGACAAACTCTTTCTCTTCTCTATTCTATTCTTTGCCTGCCAACTTCTTCATTTTACCTAAAAAAATATTTTCTTTTCGCAGCTCCTCAACTCGGTCCCAGTGCATATTGCGCTCTTCTTCTAACCTAACCCTTGACATTCCTCCTCACACCACTGATTTCCTCTCCTATTCCTTTTCCGTGCAGGCGGTTCGGCTTTGGAACTCACTAACAGATGCTATAAGAAGGCTCGCACTCTAAGATCATTTGTGTTAGAAGTGAAGAACCATTTTTTGTCCCTACATATTGGATAAAATTTGTATTATTTATAACTTATTTCTTTTCCTCTCGTTATTATTATAGATTATTTCTCCTTCTTTAGATGTATCACTTTAATATCTTATCGTTATTGCACCCTCTTCATCCCCCCCTTCCCTTTACTCCTTATTTTTTTCCTAACTAACATTGCTTGCCTCGAAGAAATTGCTGCTAAGCAACAAGGCCGCCATTTTTGTACTGATTTCAATAGTTTTTTTTTCTTTTAAAGTGTCCTGTTTAAGTAGTGCAATAAAGATTATTATTATTATTATTATTAATATTGGGCTACGATACAAAAGTTGAGCAACTTTTACAAGGGCCGGTGATAGGATGGGTAGATAAGAAATTAGTATCTCGGACTCCTCCATATGTAGCTGCAGTCGTTAACACCCAACAATCCACACAGGGCCCTTGTGGTGGGTCATGACCCATTCTCCATATTCTCATCACAGGAAAGGTCAGTTCTTCAGCAGTGAAGTCATTAAGCTGATGATGATAATGATTAGAAAACAGCATACATTGCTCAGATCCAAAATTAGGTATACTTGTATTATATGTAACAAACTAGAATGAAATAAGTATCGGGTTCCATTCAACACAGGCAATTTTTGCGTTTTTTATAGTAAATAGAACCCTATCCAGTTCAACTCGCACTTGGACATATTGCTTGTTAAGTGGTTTCGGCTAGGCCCTTTATAGTTCATATTTCATCCTTATAGTGACAATTCAGTTTCTAGGTCATGATTCTTTGAATCAGTTTATTCAATTTATATAATGGTGATTTGGCTGTCATATTTATTGCCAGTGATTGGTGACTGATTTCGCTTATGCACAGAACATACCTCAAACTACAACTAAATTATCAATTTACACAAAAGGTTAGTCGGCGATCTCCGTGGACAAGAGGCTCAGGCTACGCTTTCAATATATTCCAAATGCTGAAATCAATATGCCAGACTTCCCGCCATTCCTGATTAGGTCAATATAGAAAATGAACTTCTTATTGTTGCGGGTCTGAATGTTAATGGTACCTTTGTTGTATCAGATCGGATAACTGACTCTGTTTGCGATCTAACACAGTGAAAGATCTGTTCAGTAGTTTTTTCTATAGGCCGATTGTTATCATTATCGGCCTATTCATATCCTGCTTGGCTGCAACCGAGATCAACAGGTTAACTTGGCTTCCGAAGCACGAGGAAGCTAGAGATAAATAAATATTTAGTCACCCATCGTATGGCACGCCCTTGCGAAAGTTCCTTAACGCGCTAACATTATTTCACTTTTTCAATTTCATCACTAATGAAACGCAATATGCAAAAACTGTTGAAGATGACTGTTGATTCGAATTTCTTGTATTGAAACAGACAACAACGGCTCTACCGTGTAACTAAAACCTTGATTGATCTGTGAAAATACCCTAAAGATTAGCCTGACAGATCAACTCGGTTTGGTCTAACCAGGGCTAATGTCAAAAATATTGTAATATAAAGGTCCAACCTAGAATAAAATCTCATAATCTGAAAATTATTATTCGATTACCGGTCGGGACAGTGTAGACAATAGAGTTTTTCATATTGTCTCGAGTCTGGGTGTTGTGGTACCTTCGTTGTCTCGGATACTCCATAACATAAGGGCTTTAGTTACTCATATTGGAAACTGAGCAATGTTTGTAATGTTGTCCAATTATTTATTTATTCAATATTAATTTAATGGTCTTTACAAATTAGTTTTATTTACTCAATTTAATTTATAGCCGTGTAGCTGAACTATAAAGCCATGATTATCGATAAATTATGAATTAAACTTTTTTAACTATGAATTTGCCGATAAAGTTTTTCCGTCGATAAATAATATTAAATGTCATAAATGTTATAATTAATTGTATAATAAAATACATAAATGGTTTCAACATACATGTTTTGGCCAGTTTAAATAATATATGTTTCCGTTTTCCAAGTAAAATTTAATTTGGTAGCAAAATAAATCTTATGCCTATAAATATTCATTACAAATTCCATATTTATTTCGATCTTCTTGTAAAATAATCAATAATGATTCAGGATATGTATATTTTATAAAAAAATATTTTAAATAAGAAGCCTACCTAATCAAAATGTAAATTATTAAGTACCTACCTATTACAAATATAATATTATTCACAGATAAGAAAATAGTTTTTCTATTTCGTACTACCTACTATACTTCGGTTGATTATTTATATTATTTTATGTATACGATTTATATACCAAATTTCAAACAAACACATCGAATTCTTTAACACTAATTAGTTATTAGTTAAGTTAGTTAAGAATTTGACGCCTTCGTAATAACAAGATAAGATTTAAAAATCTGTACTTGGTTTTTGGTAAAGCATAGTGTGGAATTCTAGTAAATTAGTGATTCACTAAAGCAGTCAAACAGGTTCTTTCATCTGACCTCATTATTAAAACTCAAAATGCAGTTCTATTAAAAACATATCCACTGAATTTAATATGTTATTAAAAAAAAATGTAGTTTTTGTTTTATAGTTTCCGAAATTATCTATAAATATCCTTTTCACGCTTGTCATCATCCTATAAATCAAATGATCATATAAATCGGATAAAACATATTTCATTCGTTTTTATTGTTAGAAAACTCCACGATTTATTGAATTTCTTTTGCAAATTTTTACGCAATAATCACGCATTTCAATAGTCTCAACTGTTTGCATTTAATTTGCCATTGGACTATCAAAAAGTTCTAAAGACCTAAATTTATTATTTTGTGCATTTAAAAACACAAACGGTGGACTTACTGCGAAAGGCATTCTTTACCAGTCTACCAAAAAACGATGTTGGACTTTGAATGTTAGGCGATAAGAATTATATATTAGCCAAAAACAACAATGCCAAATCATATTTAGTAAAAAGTGTAAAATACACCAAAAATTGATTAATTTTGTGATTTTGACATGATTCATGTTACTGCCTAGATTAGATTATTCAAAAACATTGTAAATACAGCTTATAGATACATAAACAAATATATAAATACATACAAGATATGTCTTGCAATGTAATGTTTTCGTCACAAATGAATGGTGATGGCAGACATATTTATTATTTTGTGATATAGTAACTACAACTGTTTGATAAAAGGGCGTAGTTGAAGGGTTGTAGAAAAAGATGATTAGAATGATGCGCTCTAACCTACTGCACCTCGCACTACATGGTGCCACGGACACACATAGGTCGATTCCGTCAGAAAAAAGTTAATTTCACAAGGACTCCACAATCCTCAATAATGAAGAACATGATCCGAGGAAGAGTTACAATAATAAGCACGTAGTAACCAAAATCGAAATTGTTCGTATGGGCAAATAAATTTTTAATTCTTTAGAAAAAAACTTACTTCCAATTTAATTTAGCATGAATGCAAATAAGATAAAATAAAAAGTTTTTTTTTCTCTGGAGAACAATTTTGGTTTTGCTGGTTTCTAGTGTCGATATAATTCCTACCATTATGGTGAGGTGTTCGATGACGGTCAGGTTGTCCACGAAGAGCTCATCCTGGTGCATGTAGCCGCTCTCTTGGTGCATAAAGTCTCCCACTGGATGACCATTCATTGCTATCTCACCATCCACCACAGTTCCCACTAAACAGAAAAAGAAGTAAAGACGTAAGATGAAAAATTTCGTAATTATAATACAGTCGAACCTTTATAAGTCGAACATCAAGGGAGATGCTAAAAAATTCGAGTTATAGAGTTTTCGAATTATAGAGGATTTCGACTTAGGCGGATTTTGATTCGACATAAAGAGGTTGAGATTCGTTCTTATTACATATTTTGAGTTAGAGAGGTAAAATATATAAAAATTTTAGTTGCAGAGGTGATAAACATATTATAATTTTTGTATTACAAATCAACAGTGTTCAAAACATCCTTAAATAAAAAATATGTCATTAAAAGATGTCAGTAATTTTTTTTGTTTTAGATAGTTTGGTTGTTCTCTATCTATAGCATTGTCTATGGTATAAAGAGCAGAAAATTCTTTTCTTCAGAGTTGCTGGTTTGCTCTATAAAATTCCGTAAAGTATTCAATGCTGTTCTTGCCCCTTTGATGGAAACCCATGGAGCGCATGTAGTATTATTCTATGTCATCTAAATCATTAGTATCGATCGAGTGATTAATTTCAAATAGTCGAGTTCACGTGAGTCATAAGCCTATTTATTGTATACTCCTTTGTTTTCTAAGAAACAATGGAGCACTTTCATCGTCGGTAAATTCTTAAAATCTTAAATTCATTTTATTTTTCTTCGAGCTATAGAGGTGATAAGTTTCAAATAGTCGAGTTGTAAAGGTTGTAAAATCAAACATTGCTATGTTTGAGATACAGAGGTCCAAAAATCACATTTTTTCGAGATTCGGAGGTTTTCGACTTATCGAGGTTCGACTTAACGAGGTCCTACATAATTTTCAAAGACAACGAAACATCGTCAGGGTTCAGTACCCAAAGGTTATAACTGGATACTAAAACTCTGCTGTCCATTCGTCTGCCTGTCTTGCCACCAAACTTTATCTCATGAACCTTGGTGACAATTAAAATTTACACAGATGATGTATTTCTGTTGCAGTTATAACAAAAAATAAACGGAATAAAATAAATATTTATTTAAGGGGGCTCCTTTACAAAAAAATTACATTATAAAAAACGAGAAATAAAACTTTATTTAGCGTTTTTATAATGGTACAGATTTTTTCGTGCGCCATATATCTGATAGAACTTTTATACGATAACATGATTACATCAAATTTCATTATTATTTATAAATAATAACTTGCTTACTAATTATATTTTATTAGTTTTAATTATTATAATAAGTTATGGTAATTAATAAAACGAGCCCCAATTAATTTAAATAAAATTCAAATTGATTTTTAATTTCATTATTTTTTTCTAATACCATTATGCATATTAATATAATGTCAGATTATTACTCCCGTAATTATCACCTACTAGCTATTACCTATTATCATGTAATATTCCCTTTCGTAAATAAAGTATAGTCTATGTCCCTCGCGTTCACCATAATCACCAGCCTATTAATGTCCTTACTAAGGCTTAGGCCTTTCTTATATCCATAAGACTTAGGCCTTCCTTATGGATAGAATTGAATCAAATGAAATAGGAAGAAGCTTGAGATAATTAATTTTTGGTCACCCATCCTAAGATCATCCCTTTTTATAATCCAGGAGAAATGCAACCTTAAGTCTTACACCAAGGCTGCGGGCAGGAGGATGGGATGACAGCCCTGTCGGCTGGTTCACAGAAAGGGGGGATGCGGTAATATGCAGTCCTCTCCCCCTAACCGTCCTTACATGTAGATAATACTGCCCAGGCCTCCCACTTAAGCCTCCTAGAGCTAGCCCTATGGCTGCCCCCTCGACTTTCCCTCGCAGTGCTCTCCGGCCCGTCACTCCCCGGCGCCGCCAAGGTAGTTTTATGCGAAAGCGTAGCTCCACATGGCAACGCCGGGCGGAGACGCGCCCCATTCCGAGGTACCGCAAGAGCGGTCCACTACGTCAACGGTAGCACGGAGCACCCATCCGAGGATGAGTGGAACCGCACCGCCACCGACGTTGTGGGCCGCACTCTATCCGCACATCGGCGGTCAGATGCCCGCGCACATCCGGATACACGTTCCCGTGCGCGCACCGCTGCTACAACCACAACACGGTTACGGTACTAGCATATGCACGCCTTGTATTCCGGTGGCACGTTTCCATCGCCGGTACGCAAACAAGGCCGCGGCTGTGGTGCTGACGGGGAGTCCGCCCCACGCAACCAAAGGCTGCAACAGATTCCTTTGGAGGCGTCGAACGGTCCCCCCACAGGTATCGCGACTACGCATGCGGCGGGGGTCACCTTGGTTGGTCAGACCACCGTTTCCCGGAGTCCTCGCCCAACGGCCCTTTTTCCTATAGGGAGAGGTGAGAGCTGAAGCCCGAGCCAGCAAGGGTCCGCCAGCGGACCCCTACTTATGATCATGCGTTACAAACCATCCAGCCCTCCACCGAGTCTGTTGGCAGTCACCGTCAACGGTGACCCTACTAAGCAAAGTGGGCCAATTAGGGAAGGCAAGAGCGCTGTACTGCATAGCGTCTGCGCCTTCTCCGTCTCATCCTTCTTCGATGAGAGTTCGTCGGAGCCATCACCTCCCGTTCTCTCTCCGCGGACTCCTTTTGCGAAATCACATCTTGATAAATGGAGGTAACCGCTTGCCAGGATATGTTGCTATCCAGCATGGCTTTGACTAGCTTGGCAGGGAGAGATTCTGACTCCCTATTAAATCTGTTGTTTCTCGGAAGCTGTTCAGACAGAGATAGATGTATCCCTTCCAGAACTTTGGCTTCAAGGTCCCATGGGGCATACATGCAAGAACACATCCCGTTTCGGCGAAGATAGTTCTATACGCTCTTATAGCCCTGTTTGAGATGATCCTTTGCGGTTTTCGGACCATCCGCGGTAAGAGTCAACCCCGAAGTAACCAGTCATATCCTTAGTTCGACAGGAGTGGTCCCAAGACCGACCCGCAACTCGGCACTTCCTCTCTTGTGTCATCACCTGTACCCCAGCTATTCGGAACATTACCTTCCCTTCCTTTAGGTAATTGGATTGCGAAAGATCGTAGGTTCGATTCCCATCTCAGGGTGCCAGGGACCAAGTGGTGTTTTTAAGCATTTTGTATTAATAATATTTATTACTTACCCATGTAACAAATATATCAATGGGTAATCATTATTTACCCAATTGCGATGATGACTGGGTAAAAAAAAAAGAAATTCTATTAAATCTGTCAGTCAGATAATGGAAAAATGTTGGATACATATTTTTTGCTTCAATTAAACTAGAAATAGGCATTAAAGTTGAGGAGTGGGGGCTCGCTATGTAACAACTATGTAGAATATATACCTGACGGACAGACACACAAATATTAGTCATCATCTCTATTGCAATACTATTAAATATATATCTATCAATACTTATATTATAAAGAGGTAATGATTACGTATGTTGGTTTGTCTGTGAGGAGCAATCTTTGGAAACTCTGCAGCTATAATGAAAATTCTTTCACTTAGGGGAAGCTACATTGTATGATAAAATTTACGCGGGGCAATCGCGGGAAAACAGCTAGTCTTTCATAATCTGCGTAAATGTGAGTAATACGAATTACCTGTCGTATTTTCACGCACTATAGTTCATATCTACTTTTGATATGCATCAACACCTTGCCACACAAATAACCTACCGTATTACGCGCGAATTGATACGCGTGTTTCGAGTTATCGATCTAGGTATTATCTATTCCTTTATAGTTAGTAAGTGTTATTTTTCAATCTCAGTTAAGTAGTCGGCTTTAATTTATTGATATTAGGACTAGTAAAAGAGTTCCAATATACTTACGCCAAAGCTTTGGTCAGCTGTTTAACCTTTTTATAGACCGAATGTGTTAAGGAGCTTACATTGAAATGATAGTTGGTGCTGGGAATAATGTAAATATAAAAAGTGGAGGAAAACTACTTATCGAAAAAACTTTTATTCAAAAAGCGCAGTTCGTTATACACAACGCAATGCTAGTCTCAATGATAAAGTATGCTAAACCAATAGTAGGTTATGTCAGAAAGAGCAAGTAGAATTTGAAATGAAAATCTAAGAAGGAGAATCTTGAAAGATTGTGTCGTTGTAAAAATAAACAGAAGCATGCTCTGTTTGTTTGGACACGTGGAAATAACGAACGAAAGAATGACAAAACTGATATACTACGTGAAAGTGAAAGGAGGCGAGGAAGGCCAAGTCATAGCTACGATCAAATCGATCGCGTGCTGCTGTTAGGTGATTTCAGAAGCCATAAAAACTAACGAGCTTGTATAAAAAGGGTACAGTAGAAAAGGCAAAAGATGTGCGTAAGAACATGTCTCGTGGCGCCCAATTATCTTTGCATACCCCGCAAGGGATATGGAGTGAAGATATAAATAGAACGAACGTATCAAGCTATTCCAACGTTCATCAACGACCCTTTTACATGTCCACTGCAGAGGCTCAGGCCTTTCTTCTCGGATGATTAAGGCGGATGGGCCATTACCGTCCACGCTGGCCCTGTGCGGATTGGAAGGTATTAATCACTGTAAATACATCCGGAACCAATGGTTTAACGCGCCTTCCGAAGCTCAAGATAATTTTTTGGTCACCCATCGTGGCCGACTTTTGCGAAAGTTGCTTAGAAACAATGATCGTGGGCCGCGGCGCTTATTCACTACACCAACGAATTACTTAAACAATACTACAATGTCATATATATATGTCATATAACAATACTATAATTCTTGAACCACAATAGTTAATCATATTATAACAAATTATTCTTACCTGGACTTCTATGTGCTAGCGCTGACATTAACGTAGTTTTACCAGCACCACTGAAACAAAAAACTAATTTTAAACGACAAATATAAAAAGTAGCTTACGCCCGCAACTTCGTACGCGTGCTATAGTTACTTGCACAAAGTAACTATACTACACATTTCCAAAAACGCTAAAATAACTATTAAATACTATTAAATAAATATAACGTGTAAAATACCTGAACATAAAGTTTCATGATTTTATCTTAGACAGTGACAATCTTTCATATAAAACTTCAATTCCAACCCACAAAATAAAAAGTCATCAATCTCCTATCTGACGTCAATTTTTTATTTATATTAGTATGGAATAATTAAGCGAATGTCCTTGTCGCTCGTTACGTCATATAACGAATCGGACCGTAAATATATTATCGTGTTCTATAATCACTAAGATTTATAGAAAGTCCCGATAGACCACAGAGATAGTAAACCTCAAAGGTTCGATCTAGACCATGTAATCTAACACCAGCTATAGAATGTTCATAACTAATACAATCATATATACATCTCGTAAATCGAGTTTGCTGGCGTCGAGTTACATGCCAACCGCAAATTGTTAATAAGGTCTCTGATGATAATGTCAATAAGAAGTCATAACAAATTAAGTATATCTCTGTATTCATCAAAACTCAATAATTAACGCTTAATTGAGTATTTTTATTAATTGATTTCAAAGCGTGTCGTATAATTAGATGTAATAAAAGACGAAATATTTGATAAAATAATATACACATAAATGTTTGCAGCGTACAGGCTTAGAAACTAATGGAACGATTTCAAAAATTCTTACATATAAGGAAAGCTACATCATACGCGGGCGACATAGGCTATAACTTACGCGTGCGAAGTCGCGGGAAACAGCTAGTTTATGGTAAAAACATTCAATGCTTTATTAATATTAATCTTGTCGTAAGAATATAGCCAGCCCATGGCCCAGGGGGGCAAGTTAACGTTATGGAAGATGAACAAAAAAATAATTTAAGTACATCAGTGAAGAGCATGAACCGACACTTGAAGCGCGAGGCTTTTCTTCTGTGACTATTGTAATAAGAACCAAATATTTAAGAATTTCCAACCAACTTCTTGACAGCAGATAAATAAAACCTAGAAACAAAGTTATTAGTTTTTTTTTAAATCTAAAACCAAAAACAATTACTTGCGTCATAATTGCAATTGAAGTTAATTAAACCTTAATCTATCTTTGAAGATTTTCATTAATTTATCGACTACTTTATTGTGAAAACTCGTAAGTTTACTTTTCAGTCGAATACATCTTCGAATTTAGCACCTATTAATAATCTACTTCACCAAAGATGTTTGAATTCATAAAGTAAGATGATTTCTTGGTGTTGTCTACTTTGAATGTATGTATTCAGTCATTGTCCCATCCATATTCCTAGTTTATCCACGCAAATTTCCATCATCTTCAACTCAGTCGAGCTGACTGCTCTCTCACAGAAAGAGTCCTTATTCGTCAGTACTCTCTGCGTTACTGGTTGCGGTTGCGACTTACCTGGGTCCCATTAATGCCACCAACGTTCCTGGCTTAGCGATACCGCTCACTGAGGACAAAAATCTGTATTTAATTAATATTATTAATTGATACGCATCTAACAGAAAATTCGTTGCATAATCTTCAAAACAGAGATATATCATGTGACTTTAAGGTTGTTTGCACCATAACAGCAGTTAAAGTTTATGTCAAATTTAACGATAACTGTCACGATGACATTAACATTGGTTGCGTAATGCATTGCACCATCCTTTCCCTTGGCATATTAAAACAATAGGCTTAAACATTGACAAATATCACGACTCCTAATTTGCTTAACAGGTATTTTATCATGATTGTTATTATTATATTTGATCAATTTTCCATTCACAATACTAAACTCAAAAATGTTCTTAATGGAAAATTATTAAAAATCCACTTTTGTCCATGGGACTCAAACCACGACCGTTCGCAATCCGGGCGACTGCTCTAACTAAACCACTGAGTTACCCAGGACCTAACATGACTGACGAATTTTTCAAGCACTTGCACATCTCGCAGAGTGGTTTTGTTTTGTTTTTTAAATAATATGTTTTTTATTGTCAAAGTAAGTTGATGCAATCAATCCTTAATCTTGCATATTCGACAGATGATCCCTTATTAACGCATTCTTCCATGAGATACATCACGGATATTACGTCAGATTTGTACCGCCACGCATTTATCTCATGGTAGTTTAATGAGGAAGAATTAAAAAAAATTTGTTCCCGTAATCAAACTAGATGTCGTTACGGTATGTGCTTGATTTCTCCATGACAACCTTTCCGGTTTTCTTTCATGTTTAAAAGTAAATTAGTTTTTAAACTCAATAAACAACTCATATTCTATTTGTACTTTTTCGTATTTGTATAAATATCTAAGTATTGAACTTTACAAATTTCAGTTTTCTAATATGTTAGTTTAAAGGAACGGAAATGACTGTCTTTGATCCATCCGTTTCCTGCTAGAGTCGCCATCCAGTGGAGGTACTTTTTTAGAGCTTTCGTTTGTTTTTTAAATACTTCCTCATTAAAAGACGTTACATAATATATATCAAGCCTTTTAGCAAATATGTACTTGTTTTCTATTTTTAAGGGTTTTAATTGAGACAGTTTGCGGCGTGCATACCTATAAGTCAACAACAACGCCTCAAAGCCATACTATAGTTTGGCCACAGTGTTTGACATTGAGGAGGCCCTTTACACTACGACGGTGTGGGCGGTTGCCATCATCGGCCACGCCTCACCCCGCCTAGCAATAAAAACTTTAATATAGTGGTATATAGACGCTAACGAGATGACGTATTATGTTAATACTATGAAAAATATTACGAGGCATTCGAATACATAAATAAGCCATATAGCTATTTTTAATTTAATAATTTATTAAAATTACCGATTAAAATATATTTTAAATAAATAAATAAATAGGCTATTAAAATTATTTTATTTTTAATTGCTTGATTATAACTTTCCATGCCTATAATTGTTTTTTATAGAGTCATTATGAACATTTGGACGAGGAGATTAAGTTAAGACATAAGCCGCATTAAATGATATTTGAAAACCAGCTTATTACGCAACGTGTGAGCGAGTAAGGGTTCCGTATGAATATTAAATAAAAAACCGACTTACATTTGATCAATTTTACATTCGCAATGCTATATTGATATCCGTTATAGAGAAAAATGCTTACGAAATTCCATATGGGGCATAAAAATGGTGACTCAATTTATGTAAAAATACTTGTTTCTGTATATTTTTCAATTAACTTTAATTTGAACATTATAAAAAAACTAGTTTGTTTTCCCACCATGTCACCCAGCCATCATGAATTCTTTCTTTTACTGGAAGCTACATCATAATGTAGCTTCCAGTAAAAGAAAGAATTCATGATGTGATCGGTATTTCCCAAGATAAACCCCCCATAAACAAAGTTAGAAATGTTGCCTTTATAATATATACATATTGAGATTACATTATCAAAACATTTCATTCTACCAGCGGTTCATTTCAAATTCATTAATTTTCATTACACGTCCATCTTTCGGTGATCGATTTATATATATTTAAATTGCAACTATGTATTCCGTTTCTTCCTATGAAAAAAAACGAACGTATTACGAAACCCTAAAAAAATCTTCAAAGCTTCAAAGACACATCAAAATTGAAGATCTATTAAATGTTGATTCATATGTATATTTCCAATAATATAGAGCATTAAATTCTATGACTTAATAAACTTTAACTTAATTGACTTCTAGCATTAGATTAGGTTAGATTAAGAATGTCAAAAAGAGCGCAAGCAGATAAATATACCTATACTTTAAACCTAGGCCGGATTAATATTAAATTAAATAAGTAAATAGATAGATGTTTAATGCGAAATTATCAGTAGAAATAAAAACTTTTAGTAGTAAATTATGACTTTAAATTTATATGAAAAATTTGTAACAGGGCGTGGTAGTCGGATAACGGTTGGACAAGCAAAGAATGTGATTTCTTCTTAGGACGAGAAATCCTGTGATGGTTTCAAAGTACGTATTCTAAGTAATTGTACGGTGTGCGATGTTTTCTCTTCATCCCTTACTCATTACTTTGCTGAGGTTGCGCAAAGACAGGTCATCAATTAAGATTTAAGTTTGATTGCACTAAACCCGAATTTACATTAGAAATGTAGTTCCATAAAATTTGTTTCACTCCATTAATAAACACTAGCAGTTGCATTTCTAAAAGTCGACTAAATCTAAATGATAATGCATCTAAGCCGTTTCATGCTTTGTGTGTTGAGTCTTACCATTATTTACGAGTCTCTTTAGGCTGCCACCCTTTAATTTGACGTGGACACTGACATCTCGCCACACCAGGGTACAAGGTTGGTGTACTAGGGTGGGGCCCAATATCTCTTCTACTTCTGGGAAGAGTGGGTCATATTTGGATCGGTTCGTGTCTTCAAACTTTACTTCTGGTTTCAATTCCTGCCAAACAAGAAGATTTTTTTCAAAAACAATTATATTTACAATCGTAATACATATTTCATTATTTTATCAGTGCAGTATGTTTTTTAGATAACAATGATTTTGTTTAAGAGAGGAAAGATTTAAAAAGAATTTTGAAAGGTAAAATCTTTAAGTTTGGACGGAAATTCAAGCAAAACTGAAATCATTCTTTTGATGATTATATTTTTAAGCATAATGGAATAAATTATAATATGATCTTAACCTACCTAAATTTAAGTTAAATTATGACTGCGAAGTCATTTATTATAAATTGCAAACAACACAATTTTCCGTTATTACTAGCATATCTATTGTAGCATATTTATAGCATAGTAGAAGAACTATTGTTGATAAAAAGATAAATAGAAAAAAATATTCGGTAACATTTTCCTTATCGTTCGTCCGAATATCACAGGCTTAAGTCACCGAATACTAATATTTTTTGCTAACGCCCTTTATGCCTCAAATCAGGGTCTAATTATCTAATTTTAAATTTCACGAACGTCACGCTACGACTATTTGACATGTCATAGCATTTGCTATTGAGACATTTCTCATCTTCTTTGACATTTCAAATGGCAATCTTACGGTGGATTTAGGTAAGTCCTTTTTATTTATTTTATTATGTTTCTTGATCATTCAAATCATTATTCGTTTCAAAAGCGATTGCGCTTTAAAAGATACATAATTCCATTAATTGTTAGGACAATCGCTATACCTTTGAAAGGGCTCTCAAACTACTAGGACCTGGGGGCCAATTCTACTAAGTAAATTTTGTTTATATCGAATCGAAAATGAATCGTAGACGAACAAAACTACAGTTTTTAATGGTTTTTCTATTCTACTAAGTGGTATACGATACAATTCCAGCTAAAATAGAACTGGAATTGTATCGTATGTCACTTTGTAGAATAGGAATATTTAGTAGAATTGGCCCCCAGAAGGGCGGGCCAAAGTATGGTTGGCATACCTTATAAAACCCACTGCGGATTACATTACATTCAATTGATTTTGAACTGGGAAATAATATCTAAATAAGCTATAAAAAGTTTAAATGAGAAAACTACCCAATAGTAAGGATATAGAAAAGCAGCAATATCAATAAAAGGCTGAAATCTGCAATCTGCATTTATGAAACTCAACAAAATATCATGTGGGTCTCAATAAATTTCACTTTGATGTGGTGACCGGCAAGTGGGAATATATTAACCACATCAGCGGTCTCAGTTGCCGTTTTATTTTTAACCAGCTACTGGATCCACGTATATAAAATCTTTTGTTCCATCTCATATAGTACAGTCAAAAATGTTTTAAAGAAAAAGCTCTTTAATTCTAAAATGTTTTAATATTTTAGATTTTTTTTTATGTATGTTCACCGATATTTTCGTCAAAATTCTTTTTTTTATTGTATTTTATTTTCATTTTATCGGAGTCAAATAAGCAGTTTTTCTTTTATAATAAAACAAAGTACGATTTTCAATAGATATCACCTAAATATTAAGATGATATGTTATAAATGGCACATTTCAGCTAAAAAACCAAAGATTGCGTATTAGAAATTCATTCAAAATCAGAAAGAAATATTTTCTATGTTCAACGTGTATATAGGGGTATACAGGGGTAAGTCATAGTTAGTAGGTATATATGGGTAGATATGTTCATCGATTTCTTCCTGAATTGTGAATCAATTTCTATCAAACTAGCTTTTTCCCGGGACTTCGTCTGTGTAACGCTATACCTAGGCCCGCCGCGTTTTATTTGGTGCCACGTATTAGACTTATAAATCGGTACAAACAAGCAATCAAATCATTCCTCTTTTAACTATTAATTTAAATTATTGGAAAAAAAATTGTCAAGTAATTAAACAAAATTTCCTTTTCTAACACTTTCACTAAATTATATATATCACTAAAAACCGTAAAATAAAAAAAAATAAAAAATACCTATAGAACCGACTTCAAACTTTAAAAAAGTAATAAATAATACTTATCTCGAAAGCGACTTATTCAACAAAATGGTATTGAAGTCTGGCGCCTATAATTTAATTAATATACCTAATAACCTACAGAAAACCTCCGCTTGATTTATATATATTAAAGCTGTCAACATTAGATAATATCAATAATTACACGTATTTGTATTCAAACAACATGCTTTCTAGATAAGTAATTATTAAATCATGGAAATCTTAAATCGATCGATCACAAAAAGATATGCGAAAATTCTTCGCAGAGTTAATTCGTTACTCAAAGGACATTGATTCAATTCACATTAATTAAATAAATAAATTATAATAGATTTAGATAAAAACGAGATAAGGATCTTTACAACTAAGAACAACTTATTCAAAAGGTTAGTTTGGAACTGAAAAATCTTTGAATTTATTGAAATAAAGTGTTTTACTTATTTATGAAAAATATTTTTTCAACATTCTTTAAGTTACACCATCCGCGGGTGACATGAGTTACAATTTATGCTGGCGAAATCGCTGGAAAACAGCTAATTAGTATATAATTTGTTTATGTGTAGGTTACTGCGATTAAAATACGACGGTTATTAAAAATATATTAACCGATCGACTTCTAAGAATTTTCTTGAACATAAAACCGCCTTTAAGATGAGTACTATTGTATCAGGTTTTATATGTTCCTAAAATTTAATTTATATTTTAATGCCGCGCACCACCACGTTCAATCAAAGCTTATGCTAACGAATTGGATTTGAGTGGTACTTATAAGTATAGGTTCGTTATCTATTATGTATAATAATTTATTTATTTTGTTTGTTTGTGCAAAATCAAACGCAGGTAACAGGTGACGTGAGCTATAATTTAAGCGGTCGAAGTCACGGTAAAACATTTTTACTTTTGACGTTCGTTGGCGAAATGCATAATATGCGATCTTTTGATATCTCCGATGATAAAAATATGTCGTTCTAAGTATATTCGTTATTTAGCTGAACGCTCCTAGTTATATATTGTTATAAAAACCAAACTACGAATGTGATTTCGATGACTTTAATACAATACTACCTCTGGTTCATATGCCTTCTAGCAAAAAGAATTTTGAAAATCGGTCTACGAAGATTGAAAAATCTGAAAACACAAAAAATATCGAACATAGAATTTTGAAATTGGTTAAAAAGGGTATAATGAATGAATTAAATATATTTATTGTACACCAATACAGGACAAAACAAATAGATACAATCAATTAAAATGTACAGCTGGCGGCCAGGCAACCTTTGCGAACTGGAAAAAATAAATTTAAATTTGGGTAGCTTATGGTGTCTCGAAAGATTTTATCAAGACGGGCTTGCGCATATATTTGCAAAGCATCTACATAGAGGTGGTAGCATTAAACTAAATGACAGGTAATTGAATAATAAATATAGCGAAAGGTATTGGAGATAGAATGCCACACTGAAGCACTCCAGCAGAAATATCACACCAAGTAGATAAATAATCTCTAATCCGAATTACTATGTAACTACATATGTAACCAGTCAATCACCGCTGGAAATATGTTTAGAGAGCCTAGTAAGCTGAGTAAGATATCAAAGTCTAAATGCGTTGCTAAATTCAAGTAAGCACTGAACCGTAATTTTCCTTTCTTCCATACCTGATCTGATGTCGTCGGCAAGTTTCACTAATCAATTGTAGTACTACGCCCGCCACGGAATCCAGACTGATACGGATTGAGGAGGTTATTCTTGTAAAGGAACGTGGACAACTTTTTATGAACAAGACGCTCTAGAAATTTGGAGAGGATAGGTAGAATAGTGATGGATCTATAGTCAGCAAAAAGACAACGGCTTGGACTTCTTGGGTATCTTTCCAAGCCGATGGTTATGGAGTGGTTGAGGATATCCGTAATGAGTGGAAGGACCTTATCTAGGACAAGAAGAATCATCTTTCTGCTAATGCAGTCACAACCCACAGCCCCAGATGATATTGACATAATACTCTTCTTTAAAAAGTTGAATAATTATGGCATGAAAGAGATGAAAAACGATTCAGAGATTCAACTTCTTTTTGAATCAAAATTGCATTAAGAACAGAAACTTTTATTCCTCATCCAATGCTTCCGGGCCATCTCGGCAATCCTGACCACATTGGCTACGCACCTATTTCCGGTTTTTAGTCTCCACTCCGGGACTTCACTAACTCAATGGCTTCAGATTCGCAATTCTTTGGGCTATATCGGTCCCGTTGGTTTGTCAGCGGATTTCTCGCTTCTGATTCGATCGTGCAGAAAAACTCATACAAACCCTTGTACTGCCCTTTGGGTGGCAGCAAGCCTATTTTTAAGGCTCACAATTGAACACGTCTCAGTTCCATACGTCATCACTGGCAACACACATGATTCCTAAATTTATATATGTAATTATATTAGAAAATATGCCTATACAAGCTATAAATATGTTCACAGTTGTAAAGATTTTTATCTTGTTTTATAATCTAAATATGTGTTAAAATTTATTTTGTTTTATAATAATGTGTTACATTAATGTGTTTTGAATAACGAATCATCTAGTTTAACAAGGTATTATGTGTCAATATTTTTTCTTGTCGTGAATTCATAATTAATTGGAAATCACTTTAAAAAATGGCTTGTAGCTTCTGTCTTCACTCATAATAAAATTGGCCGGGGCCAATTTGAAATTTGAATAATTTTGACCACTGAGCCATGTCATGCATGACTAAAAAGGATACGACATCATATCGATGTTATGATGATATTTCATTTTCATTTTATTACTTTTACACGTACTTTAGTAACGACAAAAGAAATGTAACAGAATTAAGAATACGTGGATTTGATAGCAGTTAGTGACACCTTGTCCCAAATTTCTCCAACAAAGTGCGATATGTCAAAGTATATCACTAATATCATATCCTATGGCTAGAATCCAGACTAGAGAATGAATCG